CTATAAATGCAAGAAAACGCTGAAGAAATCGCTTATCTTGGGTTTTTCATCTTGTAAATGATGATCAGTTGTTTTTGTTTGTTGTTATTTTGTGTTATTTGTTATGAAATAAACGAACTTTTATTGAAAGTGACAGTTTCTTAGAAAACTCAATGCTCTAAAATAGAGAATGGAAAGCTTTGACCACAAACCCTCAGAACAAAACTGAAGTGTCGCTGGGTTAGATCTGATATCTTTGCGCGCTAAATATCTTTTCCCAGCAGTTATTACAAGTCAAAAAGTTCTGTTTATGAAAAAAAAAAAGTTTTAATTTTGTTTTAAACTGTTTTTGACGTTATCTATATTTCTAAAAAAAAAAAGAAAACAGGCTTGTGAAAAAACCACGGAGTAAATTGTCAACTGTTTCTTTATCCCAATGAAAGTATTCCGTTTCCGTGAAAAAAAGATTGAACTACGGGACTGAGATCAACGACGCCCGCAGAGTTACTGCCCCTGCTCTCCTCAGTGCCATAGAGCAACACCGTGCCTTATTGATTCTCTCGTGGCGCTCTGAAAATATACCATCTTGAAAGGTGCGACCACCCCCGCAGTCCGATCGCGTCTGAAAATGCGAGGCTCTTGCGTGTGACTAGAGAGTCCCCTAAAAACAACAATCATTTTGACAATCGCGGGGTGTTTTTCTTGAAAGAGATATTGATCACTTTTTTTTTTTTTAAATAGATGTCGGCCTTTTTAATTATTGTCAACGAATTATTATTATTAATTATTTTTTTACCCTTACAAGGTTTATTCCCGCTCACAGTTTTGTTTTTGTGATTTAACCCCCCCCCCCCCCCCCCCCGACAAAATGATGGAATCGACACATCTCCATCTCCACAAAAGTGGGTGCCTTTTTTTATTTTCAAACTAAAGAATGTAATTGTAACATGATGAAACAAGAAATTGTTTTTAAAAAAATTGGTCTAATTTGAGATTCTTAAATCGCATCACACAATTATCACAACCATCGGTGTCTAATAAGACAGACGTTGTTTTTTCCATTTCACTTTTTTTTTTGCCTACGATTAAAGGGAAATTTAAAAGAGCAACATAAAAAATTTTTTTTAAAATTTAAAAAAAAACAATGAAAGAGTGAAAGAGAGTGAGTGATAGAGAGAGAGAGAGAGAGAGAGAGTGAGAGAGAGGGAGAGATTGAGTAAGTGAGAGAGAAAGAGAGAGAGAGAAAAGGAGAATATGAGAGAAAAAGAGAGAAAAAAGAGAGTTTGTGAAAGAGAGAGAGAGAGAGAACAAAAGAGATATAAAGAGAACAAAAAGGAGAGAGAGAGATAATATTTGTTCAGAGTCCGTAAATATAATTAAGGAATACTGTAGTTTATCAGCCTGTGTTTTGTGAGGATTATAACAAAGATATATAAAATGCCAGTACATGGGAAAAAATAGATCACATTAGTGAGGAATGGATCGTATTTGACATTAATATCAAAACTAGCTTTATTATACTGAAACATTTTAATTTTTTTTTAACTTAACATCAGCGAATACCGCTATTTTAACATTTAAAAAACAACAACATTGACTCTTGTTTTGAGTTATTTATATAATCATCAAATTTGACTTAGTTATCTTTTACTCAAGAATCATTAAGAAATATATTTAATATACAAATCTATAAGCTATGAGGCCCATTTTTTTTAAATATATTACATACAAAACATAATTTTAATTAAAAGAAAAATTAAAGTGCATTTTTTAAGGAAAAAAAAATATAGGTTGTGCTAAAATGTTGACAACTTTTGATTGTTCATAGAATTTTTGTCATGTTTGACTATGAATTGTACACGTTGATGAAGTATTTTATTTAAATAAATTTTAAATCGTTTATAACATGTATTTTTTTTTCCTTCATACCGTGTGAAAATTTTGTCAAAACTTTGCATAAAATGAAAAAAAATAATTCTCCAATAATGTTTCAATTATTTTTATAACTAAGAAAATAAAATATACAAAAAATATATAATGATGGCTGAGTCAAAGATGAACAAGTTAATATATTTAACCGATCAGATCAGAGCTATTTCAGATCAGTTAATTAATTATTTTAAAAAATGACCTTAAGATTTTTTAAGAAATGTGAAAAAAAACGTCAGACTGCAGAGAGTTAATATTTTTTTTAACAACTGAATCACTCAAACAAGAAGGACCGGCTCAGGCACACCACAAAGCTAAACACTTTTTACAACCATTACAAATGATATATGGTAAATTGGTATCTGAATTCTTTTCATTAAGTTCTACTAACGTTACCTCTCTGTATATTCCTTTGTTTTTTCCTATATTCAGATTCAAGACTAAATTTCTAGCCCAAATCATCCAAATTTATAAGAATATTTAATAGCGTTCCAAATTATGTATACTTTAAAAGCATTCCATTCACATCTGCAGAAATTCTTTAGCACAGTTTTATAAATACATACACTTTATACACAGAGTATGCGCAAAGTGATTTTTAAATACATTATATTTACTTCGCTTTTGTTTCTGGCTGGCTGGCAAAATCTTCGGACGGCTAATTGACCAGCTTCCCGTCAACCTATCGAGCTGACATTTAATAATAATAATAGAATTTATTTGAAAATCACGCTTCATCCCCCAAAGTCTCGAAGCGTGGTACCTAGTCTATTACATTAGAAGAGAAATGAAACAATCTATAATATACCACATTGAAATACAAAATGCAACATTGCAAAAACTTTAATTATTCGAGAATACCCATTCTAAGTTGTGCATACCTAACGACCATAAACAACACAGGCCAATACAACACATTCTATCTTTATCAAATTTTCAGCACCAACCTCCAACCCTAACCTCAAAAATAAGTTTTTCCTGTTTTTCTATATTTTTTTTTAAGTGGGGTGGGAGGGGGTGGGTGAAATTCCATATAACTACGCTAAATGAGATTCTGTTTAAAGACTATATCTATTGCGTTTGGTGCGTAATATTTTCTTTGTTTTTTTTTCTAAAATTGTTGGTGAAATAAATCTAGAGTGTAGAAGCAGGTGGAAATCAAAATATTTAAATAGTCCAGAGACGTAAAGTAATGTGCGGTTGCAAGCCTTGGAGGGAGGAGCACTAACTGGGATTCTTATAGAGTGTGTTACTTGTGTCCATGTTTTTTTTTTAAATTTTAGCCCCATCCGCCTCCCCATCACTCGATATTATATTTTATAAAGGATTTATAGACCAAAAAAATTTGTTGTCTTTACGGATTGTTTAATGAAATCCTTCATATTAACTTCGCTTTCATCGTGGGTGGCTGGCAAAATTTTCGGGCGGTGAATTGGCCCGCCTCCCGTCAACCTATCAAACTGAAACTTGGCACATTAACTCGCTGCCGATGACAACACATTCGATCAAATATTCAGCCACACCCCCATCCCCAAATAGTTTTTTTTTTCCTGTTTTTTAAGGGGAACGTGAAAGAAATTAGATGCCACCGATTCCAGGAAATAACATTTCCGATTACTGCGCTACATGGGATTCTTTTTTTATGTTTAATTGCGTTTAATGCGTGATGTTTTCTTTTGATTTTCTGAAATAGTAGGTGAAATAAATCTGCGGTGTAAAACCAGATGGGTCATTAGAATATTAATATATTTCAGGGGCGTGAAAAAATGTGCTGTTGCAAACCTTGGGGGGGGGGGGG